CCATGGGTCCCTCCGGTCCTGCTGGCGCTCGAGGCATGCCGGTGAGTGAGGCCGGGCCCACCGGGGTGTCCCGTGTGTGATGCACAAGGGTCCTGGGGCACGGTGGGCAGGGGTCTGACCCCCCGAGGCCTGACAACGTCCTCTTCTCCCCTTCCAGGGTCCCCAAGGGCCTCGCGGTGACAAGGGTGAGACGGGAGAAGCTGGAGAGAGAGGGCTGAAGGGCCACCGTGGCTTCACCGGGCTGCAGGGTCTTCCCGGACCACCCGTAAGTGTTGGTTTTGGGACGGCAGCACGCAGGCCGCCCGCACCACCGCTGAGCTGGGTGCGGCTCCTTCAAGGTGGCTGCGGCCACGGGCAGAGCCCCCCAGCCCGTGCAGAGGTTTTGCTCGGGCTGAGCATCCCTCAGTGCCGGCCACGGAGCTGTACCCATCCCCTCCTCACTTCCTCCTCAGGGTCCTTCTGGAGACCAAGGTGCTGCTGGTCCCGCGGGTCCCTCCGGTCCCAGGGTAAGTCCTGCCCATGGCGCTTGGGGAGATGAGAGGAAGGGGAGACACCTCCATCCTCAAGCTCCCCCCCGCCCCGAGTTGCCTGCCTCACCGGCTGACGGCAGGAGCTAACGGCTCCCTAGCACCTTCCCTGCCTTCTTGCAACGACCTAACCCACCCTCCCAACGCTGGGGGTCTCTCCTAGGGTCCTCCCGGCCCCGTCGGCCCCTCTGGCAAGGATGGCTCCAACGGCATGCCCGGCCCCATCGGTCCCCCCGGCCCCCGCGGACGAAGCGGCGAGCCAGGTCCCGCGGTGAGTACAAAGGCTGTCGATGGTGGGGAAGCGGGTGTGGGGGGGTGTCCAGCTCACAGAGCAGCCCGTCAGGATCGCATCTTCTTCCTCCCATAGGGTCCTCCCGGAAACCCAGGTCCCCCCGGTCCTCCCGGCCCCCCAGGCACCGGCATCGACATGTCAGCTTTTGCCGGGCTGGGTCAGACGGAGAAGGGTCCCGACCCCATCCGCTACATGCGGGCGGACGAGGCCGCCGGCAGCCTGCGGCAGCACGACGTCGAGGTGGACGCCACGCTCAAGTCCCTCAACAACCAGATTGAGAGTATCCGCAGCCCCGAGGGCTCCAAGAAGAACCCGGCCAGGACCTGCCGTGACATCAAGCTTTGCCATCCCGAGTGGAAGAGCGGTAAGAGCCTCCATCCCTGCCTCCTCCTCTCCTGTCCCTCTCCTCCAGCCCCAAGAGGACAGCGAGGTCCACGATGCTCTTTGACCTCCAAAAATATTCACACGCTGTTTGTCCTCCCTGCTGCAGGAGACTACTGGATCGACCCCAACCAGGGCTGCACCTTGGACGCCATCAAAGTTTTCTGCAACATGGAGACGGGCGAGACCTGCGTCTACCCCAACCCCAGCAGCATCCCCAAGAAGAACTGGTGGACCAGCAAGACCAAAGACAAGAAGCACGTCTGGTTCGCAGAGACCATTAACGGCGGTTTCCACGTAAGTGGCCCCCTGAGCTGGTGCCGCACTCCAGGAGCGGGAAGGGAGCTTGAGCCGGGGAAGGTGTTGGGTGTCTGGTTGGAGGGTTGGGATGTCCTTCCTTGGGGTTATGTTGATGGATGTTAGATGAGGGACTGGCTGTTGGAGTTGGGTCACTTGGCCTTTGATCTATCTGGGCACATAAAGTATGGAAGTCCCCTCAAAAGGTGGTTGAAAACGGGGCGGTGGTGACACTCGCAGGCTTTGACATCTTGCCTCTTCCCTCCAGTTTAGCTACGGCGATGAAGAGCTGGCGCCCAACACCGCCAACATCCAGATGACCTTCCTCCGCCTCCTGTCCACCGAAGGCTCCCAGAACGTCACTTACCACTGCAAGAACAGCATCGCCTACATGGACGAGGAGACGGGCAACCTGAAGAAAGCCATCCTCATCCAAGGGTCCAACGACGTGGAGATCAGAGCCGAGGGCAACAGCAGGTTCACGTACAGTGTCCTGGAGGACGGTTGCACGGTAAGCCCATGGGCGCCTGCGAGAGAAAGACGTAGCCAATGAGTTGGGGTTCAACCCACGAGGCTGCTGTTGGTTCGGGGGGGGGCTCAAGAGCGTCTGCTAACATCATCCCTCCCTGTTTTCTCCCCAGAAACACACTGGCAAATGGGGCAAGACGGTCATTGAGTACCGATCACAGAAGACCTCGCGCCTGCCCATTGTAGATATTGCACCTATGGACATTGGTGGAGCCGATCAGGAGTTTGGTGTGGATATTGGCCCAGTCTGCTTCTTGTAAAAAGAATTGTTTTATTTGTGTGTTTGTTTGTTGTTGTTGGTTGTTGTTTTGTTTTGTTTGGTGGTTTTTGGGTTTTGTTTTTTTTTTTTTTTTTTTTTTAAATCCAGCCCAATACCGTAAATGAAAACTTAAAAAAAAAAAAAAACAAAACAACAAAAAAATACCAAAAAAAAAAAAAAACCAAACTCACCCCGAGGACCTGAGTACTTTCCAATCGCTCGTACAACTTCTGCACTGAATGGCTGCAACGACCCCTCGATTCACGCCCTTCCGTCGGGGACCACCGCCTCGGATTTCCAACGCCGTCTGGGCAGGCTGCGAAATAAAAAAAAAACCCCACGGTCTTATTTATTTATTCTCTTCCTGTAAGACCTATTTTTTAGGTCAGGTGGAGGTGGGAATCTAACTGGCAGGTACGATGGCCCTTCCCTGCAAAAGGGATCTCACGAATCCAGGTATCACAAATCCCCTCCCGCCCCCCGCCCTCCCCCTGTGTATCACCAGCAGGAGTGCTAATGTATAATACAACAACAAAAAAAAAAAAATGGTGCTATTCTTGTAAAACAAGTCTGTATTTTTTAACATCAGTTGATATAAAAAAAAAAAATTTTGGTGGAAAGTACAAGTTGATCTGGGCTTTTGTTTGTGTTGCTCTCTGCTGTTTGCCGCGGTCTAACGCCTTTTTCCCCATTTCCAGCCATGATAAAGGAAGGGTTTGGGTCAAATCTCCAACGTTTCGGGGTTGAGGCTACCTCACCCTAAGGGGAAAAAAAAAAAAAAAAAAAAAAAAAAAAAGAAAACCAAAACAAAGAAATCCCCCAAAAAGCCAAAAAAAGGGAGGAGAAAACCATTTTAAGTGAAAAATCTTGAAACACCAGGAGTCACCACAGCAGCCACGAGGTTTCTGTTCCGGGGGGATCTCGTCCCCTTGCACCCCTAAAGGGAACCGGGGCGAGTTGAGGCAAGTGCCCAGGACACCAGCCAAAGGAAACCAGTAAAACCAGTGGGGAGGGGGATGTGGAGACTAATCCTCATGCAAATCAGTACAACACTGGCCAGGGGGTGCCCTCTAACCCTCCTCCCCATAGAATTCACCTCATTTTGTGCATGTAAAAATATCATTTCAGGTTGTATTTTGCAATATTGAGAGCAGCAGAGCGTGTAGCCATCGCGTGCACGCACCGACAGCCTGTAAAGCAGCTGTGCCTTTATGGTTTCATAAAAAGTTACATATGTAAATTCTTCTCTTAAACAGGCTTGCTAATTAGAAGAAAAGCCTCAGTAGTTTAATTTTTTTTTTTTTTCACTATCTTAAAGAAAATTAGCCCACTGACCCCACAAGAGTTACAAATGTGCTTGAGCTTTATGTGCAGGAGTTAACAGGCAGCTGTTGACCGGGGAGTTTATGAGTTTCATGACAGTGCTTTTGTTAAAAACCTCAGCTTTTCGCATCCGCTGATAGCACGGGCACTGCAGTTTTTCATTAAGAGAAATTATGACTTTAAAGGATTAAAAAAAAAACCCTTTAAAAACGCTACCTTGGGGCCCTCCTCTCAATTTTAAACACTCACAGCTGGCAACACAGCAGCAACTGCTCCTGCTAAAGCACCTGAGGCAGCCTCCGCAGGGCTGGGATCTTTAAAAAACATTGGCAGAAGAAATTCATTAAAGAGGATTGGAGGATTAAGAAGGATTTTCAAAATAAAATGCCCTTTAAAAGGCCAAGTGCTTTGCCACATGACCCGGAGGGCACCTCTAATGATTAGTGCTCCGGCTCACCGCTGCTGGCTGTCACACAACTAATTTGGGGCAAAGCAGCAGGTTTAGGGCTCCTGCTGCGGGCACCGCCTGAGCACCCCAAAAATCACGCAGTTAGAAGCGACCCCCCCGCAGCGCGACCTGGCCCTGAGGAAGAGGAGAGCATGGGTTATCTGTGGGGCTGCAGACAATGACATGGGTGGGAACGTCGGGGAGCAGGAGGTTGAATCACCCCGCGAGCAGACACTGAACGGCCCAAGGCTGCTGAGGGGGGAGGAAGGCTCAGGAAACGAGATGGATAAAGAGCAAAGTTGGCGACTTCTTCCTCTTCCTTAAAAAAAGTTCAACTCATCATAAATCAGTGGGTTTACGAAAGTCGTGTGAGAAGCTCATGATCGAGATCACCAGGGCCAGTGGGTGGGTGACTCTGGTCCCTGGGCCCAGATGGCCCCGGGGGGGGAAGGGAGGTGCATCGCTGCTCCCCTCTTGAATTTCTTGGCCCCCACTCCCCAAAAATCATCAGCCAGAGAAGGGGTACTCCGGGAAAGAGGGGACCTAACAGTCACAACACAGAGCACTGACTCCAGGACAACATCTGATTTGCGCAGGGGAAAGGCAGAGCTTTTCTTCAAAGAACACTGCACAATAACACACAACTCGGCTTTAATACGTAGAATTCAGTTCTAGAAACCCTGCTAGGCAGAAGTCCCCCTTCTTAAAATAAAGCAAGGTGTGCTTCTAATTCATACTTGCACAAAATATAGCGTCCTTCATCGAAAATCATCCACCTCCCTTGCAGCCTTCACCTGTGCGTTGTTTCCACACAGCCACACAACCAAGAGGCAGCAGAGAAAGGGGTTGGTGCGGGCAGAGAGGAAAGGAGGGCAGCTGGAGTGGTCAAATCCCCAAAAAATACTGCAAAGGGTAGAAGCGGAATGAAATCCTCCAAGCTGCAAATGGTGCAAATCCGCAGCAAGAACTGCGGCGGGCTGAGCTTTCACATTTATTTAAGAAGGCAGCTGATACCGTCCGTCGGGAACGGGCGGCTCCCGGGAGCCTCTGAAACACCAAACTCCCACAAAATCAGTTTAAATCCGCGCTCGTCTGCGGCGGGCACGAGTACAAAGCAACACCGAGCTGCAAGTTCCCCCGTTGCAAACCCCAGAGAGCCTGCAGCTGCTGAATGTGGGGAGAGGAAGGTTCAGAGCCGTGCGCGGAGGAGGAGGAGGAAGGAGGAGGAAGGTCTAACCCACACAGCCCCTTCGCACGTCCCCAGCAGTGCTGCACTTGCCGAGGCCACCTCCATTCAGACCGCGGTGTTTTGGGAACGGTTTGCTGTAGGTGGCCTCAGCTGCCAGCAAACAAAATCTGCACAACAGAGAAAGGGCCTTTCAAAGGTTTCAATTCCTTTGCCTCCTTCTAGTGCGAGGTACAGAGGAGGAAGCCTTGGCTGTGCGTTCCGTACAAGAACTATCCCTTTTTAATCAAGGTCTGCTTTGAAACAAGCCAGACGTGCTGCCACTAAACAAAAGTGGAATAAATTAATTGCACAGAACTAATTACTTGACACAAAAAGGGCCTGACATAGTGCTAAAGCTTCAAAACAGCTGCAAGAGTCAACTCCAAATCTTTGGGATCCTCAGACCAACACATGAAGCTCGAGAGGCCGGTTTCCCTAACAAAAACTAGTTCTTCAGAACCAAAGAGGAAGGCAGGGACAGCGGGACCCTGACTTTGGGAAGGGGCCCATTTGCTTGCGCATGAACACCGCCCGGAGTGGGTTTGTGGACAGCAGTGCAGCCCAGCTGCACGTGAAAGAGCGTGAAAGGGACCCAGAGCTTTCAAATATCTCCCAAAGTCACTCGCGATCCCTCTGCTTCCATCGGAAAGTTCCTGGTCCCTCCTAGAAATCCATCTGCACAACCATCCGCCCATGGAAAAACATCAGCTGTGCCCTCAGGGCTTGCTCTTGGCTTTGCCCCGCGTCGCAGGGGACGGCGGAGGCAGCGGGTCCTGGGCAGCTGTGGAGTTGGTACTACAATCCACGTAGTGGTACGTTTCCAGCGCGCTCTGTGTCATGTGGCCGATGTACGAGAGCTTCACCGATGTCCTGCGAGGGAGGGGGGGGGAAGAGCAGTTTAGTGGGGACAGGACCTGCAACAGCAATCCCTCTATCAAAATAAAAAGACCCAGCAGGTTTTACGCTCATCACGTAACTCCTCTTCCCCCTCAAAAGCCGGAGATCCTCTCGGATTTTTGCTCCAGATCGCTCACTGCGGCGGGCAGGGACGTGCAGAGCCGGGGAGCGCAGGCTCCAGAGCACACCCCCCCTCCCGTGAAAGCTCAGCGTGGAGCCGTCTGGTGTCTTTTCCTCCCTGTCTTACATTTCACCCAACTGTGTCAACTGGCCTGGATTAAAAGCTGACACAGTGAACCAGGCTGGGGTGCTTGCCAAGCGGGACTTCCTCCGTGTACCCTAGAGTCGCTGTGGCAGCAGTTCCCTTTTGAGTCAGGAGCTGAGCAGAGAACCACCTACCTCATGAAGATCACTATGTTATGTACTTTGACCTTGGGAAATGTGCAGAAGAAACTGGAAGAGACCAAGACAAAGAAGGAGGTCAGCACCGGCTAAGCAGGGTTGCAGAGACACTTGTGTTTCTTGGTATCTTCTGATGAGATTTTTCCCTTCGGTGCTAACTCTGCTCGAGACACGGTCCAAAAACCACATCACAACATCCCAACAAAGTGGCCTTTCAAGTAATTTCTAGCAAACAGTTACTTTCCAAGAAGTTAGCAGAAAACAAGTCATTTCCAGCACAAGATCTAACAAAAGCAGCTTAAACCCACCCTCTTCCCCAGCTACATACAAAGAGTAGAAAATCCTTACTACACATAGGAGAAGGGTCCACCCAGCTCCGCCTTCACAGTGAAATTCACCTGTAAAAGAGAAAAGCAAATTACATTCACATGTAGCTTGAGTACTTGCTTCAACACACCTCTTCTGGAGTCTTTCCTACCTGCTCTTGCCTTTCATCTGGTGTGCACAAAGCACAGGCTACTCTAGCCAGAAAGCAAAGCTTTAAGGTATACAATATAATCAAGTTAACTCGCGGGTTTCGTACTTGATTTGATGATGTTTATGTTAAAGTGCAATGAAAGATGAATACCAGTTTGTCGCTCAGCGGCTGGATACGGGAAACACTGGTGATCTGCTGGGTTCCCACCACAGTGTTCATGTACTGCACCTGACTCGTCAGGCTGGTCACTGTCACCGAGTAGAAGTTGGAGTTCCTGATCCGTAAGGTGGCCTGGATGGAGGGGACACACACACACGAGTAGCAGTGACCTTCCTGGCAGCTCAGCACAGAATTTATTCCCTCGGGAACACAAACACACAAAAAAATTTACCGTGATGGCAAGAATGACAACGGAGTTCTTCTTGTCGAACCAAACCTGAACCACTTTAATACCATCATCATCCACCAGGACGGAGTGGGGGAACAGGAAGAAAACCACCAGCCCCGATACCAGCAGGCAGAGCAGCACCGACAGCAGGACGTACAGCTTCCTGCAAGAGGCAGGGAAGGGGTCACCTCCTTCTCCCTAACACAGCATCCGCAGGAGGCTTTGTATCTGAAACCCACCCCGGCCAGTAAACAACACGTATTTGTTCTTCCCTGGAAGAGACACAAAAGCGCTGCTCCAACATTTTCAGTATCTGAAATTACTCAAACCTGTCACCCTTTAAGCAGTTCATTTTTCGGTAACGAGTAACCGAAGAATCAGTTTTGCCCCCGTAGTGTTTTCACAATCTAGTATTTTGCTGTTGGTAAGGCAGCTTCTGTGTAAAAGGTTCAGTGAAGGGTGTGGGGATGAAGTAAGCGTGTGAGTAGGATCATTGTTTCCACGTTCACCCCACAGTGGGATTTCACAGGAAGTATTTAAAGTTACGCTTTAAATTGTATTTGTTGGCATACTTGGATGAAAACAAACCACTAGATGAAGGAGAAGCCACAGTGTTTAATTGTGGCAGTAAATGACAAAAGAGCTCTGTTTACTCTTTGCAAAGATGTAACTGCTGTCGTAGTACACACTTACGTTCTCTGAGGACGAAGCCGTTGGTCACTGTAGGGTATCAGAGCCACCAACTCGTTTACTTGCTCTGGAAAGCAGAAGGAACGCGTTAACCGATTCTGTATGCATGCAAGGTCGCTCACGTAAATAAGCAATGTTTTAATTTTGTATTTAAGCCCAAGAGGAGCAGTCACCTGTGGGAATGCAGCCAGTGCCTTGGCAAGTGGGGCAGGTGATGCTGTCCTGACCTGTGAATTCAACATACGGAAACTTGGCAATGTCTTCCACACGGTCTCGGCTATCGAGTAAGTCGTCATCGTCATCCTCAGCCTTCTTCCTCTGCTTCGAGGTAGCGTTATTAACGGAGAGGGAAAGCACAGAACCCATTGCAGCTGCTGTAGAAAAGTCACATAACCTATAACAGAGGCAGCAAGAGCAGTCCTGGTCATTAAGTCAGTTTTCAACTGGCTTCTGGCCAACAAGAAAACTTTACCTTGAACTACAGGCATGAAGGGAACAACCATCCCCCTCCCAGAGACCTATCCCCAACACCCCCTAGAGAAACACCTCCACACAGACACACCACCCTGGGGGGCCCAACACCCACCACAGAGAGCCTCCCCCCCCAGGGGCGAGTTCCACAGCACCCTACCTAAAGGGACACCCTACTTCGGGACACCTCAAAGGAGGCTTATTTCCAGACAGTCCCTCTGAACCCCCAGAGCCCAACAACCTCCACAGAGGCAGACCTACACCCCCCAGGACCCCCCAAAGGAGGGGCATACCCTTCCTCCGCAAAGAGCCATGATTCCTTAGACACACACCTCACCCCCTCAGAAAGAGACATAAAGTCCCCCGCAAATACATTCTCCCCACAGGGACCCATCTACCACCCCACTCAGAGGCCCACAACCCCTCAGACACACCCCCCCAACCGCCAAAGAAAGGCATACCCCCCTCAACCGACCCCACAGGGGCCTATCCCCCCCCCACCCCAATGAGGGGCACCCCCAAAAGCCCCCTCAGCCAAGGGGACACCCCCAAACCCTCCCCCAGCCGAGCACAACCCCTCAGACCCGCCACCGCAGCCTCAGCCCCGTCTGCGCAGCCGCCGTTTCTATGACAACGCCGCGAGGCGGCGGTGGGCGGAGCCGTCCCTCGCCCCGCCCGCCCCCGCCTGCGGCGCAGGCGCAGAGATCTCAGGGCGGGACGGAGAGGGCGGGTGTCCCGCAGAGCCCGCCCCTCGCTCACGCACGCCTGGGCGGGGCGTTTCGTCATCGCGGGGGGGGGGGGGAAAATGGGCGGGGATGGAGTGGGGCACCGCCCCACCATGACGAAAAGCCCCGCCCGGGCGTGTCTCTCCCCCCCCCCCCCTAGTACGCATGCGCTGAGCTGCAGCGGGGCGGAGCCCACCAGCCCCACCCCTTTGGCGAGGCTGAAGGGCGTGTTCGGAAGCGCGCATGCGCCAGACCACGCGCGCACGGGGTCTAGCCACACCCGCGGGGGGGGTAAAGGGGGGGGGGGCGTGCCTTCTTGCGCATGCGCACTGCAGGGCGCGCCCCGCCCTACCCGCGCAGGCGCACGTGAGGGGCAGTGCGCGCATGCGCGGTGGCGGGAAAAAAAAGCGTGTTGGGGCTCAGTGGGCTCGGCATGGCGATACCCCCACCGGTGGGGGGGCACCCGACCCAGTACGGGCCCGACACCGGCAGTGTAATGGCACCTGGCCCAGTACGGAGCCCCCCCAGCCCGCTGGGAGGGCCCTCTGCCCCGGTATGAGCCCTCCCACCCCAATATAGGGGTCCCTGTCCCAGTATGGAGTTCCCCCCTACCGCTCTGCAGGCACCCGTTCCCGTATGGAACCCCCACACGCCAGCATGAGGGCACCCAGCCCAGTATAAAGCCTTCCCACACCGGTATGAGGGCTTGTGTGCAAGCTCGTGTGATGCTGGGTGTGTTTGTGCAAGGCTGGATGTGCTCGTGCAAGGCCGCGCACGCTTGTGTGTGCTCGTGCAAGGCCGTGCACGCTTGTGCGTGCTCGTGCAAGGCCACGCATGCCCGCGTGAGCCACTGCAATGCTGTGCACGTTTGTTCATGCTCGTGCAAGGCTCCGTGTGCTTGTGTCAGGCTGGGCAGATTGTGCACGCTTGTGCAGGGTCGTGTGTGCTTGTGCAAGGCTGTGTATGGTCGTGCGAGCTCGTGCAAGGTCATGCGTGCTTGTGTGAGGCTGTGCAAAGCCACGTGTTCTTGTGCGCCTTTCTACGATGCCGTGCAAGGCAGTGTGTGCTTGTGCAAGGCTGTCCGGGCTTGTGCAGAGCCGTGTGTGCTTATGTGAGGCCACGTGTGCCTGTGCACGCTCCTGCGTGCTTGTGCACGCTCGTGTGTGCTTGTGCAAGGTGGCACTGGCACGAGGCTGTGCAAGACCGCTCGTGCAAAACAGGTGAGGCCGTGCGTGTGCAAGCCCGTGCGAGCTCGGCACGCTCCAGCCTTCACCGCAGCCTTACCGGACGGCAGCTCAGCCTCCGCTTGGGGGTCTCAGCACCCTGACCCCCACCTCTGCACCCCAGGGACGCCCCCACCGCTGGGAAAAACCTGCAGCAAAAGCCCAATTCCCCCCCAAAACAGCCCTGTGGGATCTCTACCCCGGTGACGGCAGCGCTGGGCGCTCCATCTTTGCTCTGTCTCCTTCGTTATCCCCTCCCCAACTCTCCTGACATTTGTATTTCTTATTTTTTTTTTCCAGTTTTACAGGTTCAAGGCCCCAGTGCAGCAGCCAGTTCAACCCAGCATCTCTCCCAGCACTGTGCGACCCAGCTGTGAGGCGACGCAGCATCTCAGGTGTTTCGAAACCTCTAAACTTTGGGAAAAAAACCCTCCAACCAGCTCTTTCCTCCCAGACCTGATGACTCCATGACAGGAGCAAGCAAAACTGCCCCATTTGGGTCAGCATTTATTTAATAAACTTGCTCCCATGCGAACGCTGGTGGAACTTTTTTTTTTCCACCGCAATAAACGTGAGAGCTTAGTGGAAAATTGAATTCCTTCCCCTCATAATCGCCCAAACCATCAAAATAAAGTTTAAGGCAAAATTAAATATTTCCACCAGCCCCGTGCGCTCCGGAGGCAGACGCCTCCTGCACACCGGGGTCATCGGAGCTGCTCTCCCGTGCATCACTGATGGAAACTTTATGGATCATTTATTCTCTCCTTCCCAGGAGCAAAATGCCAGGGAGAGGGAGGCTTCCCAGCTCTCCTTTCCCCTCCTCCGCGCTAATTGCCACCTCCTAATTGCAGAATTGCGGGCTGTGCATCTCCAGTCGCCCCGACCGAGATGGTTGTTGCACGCCCCAGGAAGGTGCTGGGTGCAGGGTTGGCCCATGCAGACAGACGCTCGCAGGGATGGACGCTGCGAACGATGCGTTGAGAGGGCACAGGGAGGGGGGAAACCTGCACCGAACCCCCCCAGGGATGGGCTGTGGGGGTGAGCTCAACCCTCTAATAGACAACAGAGAATCCCTAGATGGTGGGGGAGGAAGAAGCTGCCCTCAAAGACAACAATGCAAAACCTCACAGCAGCCTCCCCTCAGCCCTTCTTGCCATGTTGCGTGCAGGGTTTAATCCCTTTTCTTCCCATTTTAAACCCATTCTCCCCCCAGCGCCAGCGGGGACGGGCAGAAAGCGGCGGGACAAGCCGCATCCCAGCCGGCTCATCGCCACGCCGGCGGGATTTTGCAACCGCTTCCCAAGAAACCTTTGCTCACCGGAGGATGGAGCAAGTGTGTGAGTCACCCCCGGGGAGAGGCGGCTCCGTCCCCGCGCCCTGGGGGGAGCAGGATGGGGCATCGCCGCTCCTGGGGGAGCTCCGGCCACCGCGGAGCCCCTTTGGCGAAGCCGGTGGCTGCCAAGTGGTTTCCAGCCCAGTTGTGTTTTTTTCCCTTGTCCGTGTGTCCGTCAGGGTTATTTGGGGGGGTGACATGACTTGCCTGTGCCTGTGGCCAAGGAGGGCTTTGATTCCTCTCTCTCTCAACATCCCATGCGCATTTGCTGGCTGTTGAACCATCATCATCCTCCCCCCCCAGCCCCACTGATCCCGACCGGGCCGAGGAACCGCTTTTCCCAGTCTGGAGGAGCACAAAGATACCGGTTCACAGCTCTTTGTCGCCGTTCCCACCCCATGCATCACGCAGGAATTAAATCCTCCCGCATCTCTGAACATCCCCCCCCCCCCCCACGCGGGAGGGGTTTTGCAGCTTCACCAGCATCGAGGACGTGCAAGTCACGGGGATGCGATGGTGAGCAGAGCAGCACCAGGATCTGGCCCCGATTCCCTCGTGCAAGGTGGATCGAGGTGAGAAAAGCAGCAGCAGAGCTGCTGGAAAACAGCTATAACCACCACAGGTCATGATAGAGGGAGCAAATTAAACCTCTCACCAGCCTTCCCCATAGCTTGGGGCACAAACCTGGCTGTGGCTGCAGGAAAAGGTGGGTTTGGCAGCAAAGCGGTTTTTTACGGGGTTGAGGAGCACGTCGCACCGGTCCAGGCAAGGCGAGGTCAGTGGGGCATCCGCTGCACGAAGGCTTGGGACATATTGTAACATTTAAACAGCTGCGATGGTGAAAATCAACAGCAGTGGGATGGGTATGTGCAGCCTTTCCCGTGCCAAAGTTGCCCCAATCCCATCTGCAGCCCACTCCCCGCTCTTCTGAAAAAGTTCTCTGCTGCTAAATTGTCTCTAATGAACTCCCATTTCTTCCTCAGACGTTGTTTTCTCTCGTTGGCCTCATTATATCAATTTGAAAACGGTTAGTGAAATGCTTTCCCCACGCAAACTAGAGCTGTTGAACTCAGTGATTGCAGCTGAGGGGTGGTGATTGCCGTCTGCCCCGCTTGTGTACGTCGGGGACTCATATTCTCTGGGTTTAGGGGACACTTAATAAACTCTGAGAGCATCACGCAGGGGCTTTATTGAAGCATTTCATGCTGTTTTGTTCAATATGACTGGTGGCTGCACCCCCGATGCATTTTTGAGGATGGAAAGGGAAAAACTGCCAAACATCCTGAGTTTTTTTAGACTGGAGGTGTAACGTGCCTGGAGCAGGTTTGGGTTGGGGCTGCGACACCGGCTGAACCGGCTCAGCCCAAACCCCCGCACTCGGAGTTTGACTCACGTCACCAGTAATGGGATTTTGGGTGGTCAAGGTCAGTACTTGTGTCCCGACTGGTTGCATTGTCCCAGATACCATCAGGTCCCTCAGGAGCAGCCAAACCCAAATGTCCTGTGGGGCCGTGGCCTTCGGACCTGCGAGGGCTTCGCACAGGCTCGGTTCGTGCTTGGGATGTGAAGCCCTGGGTTCTGTGGAACGCCGAGGGCGGCTGTGGGGCTGACCGGAGCAGCCCGGAGGCTGCAAACAACCACGACTCTGCCGGGAACCTGCCCACCCTTGGTCGTACTTGGAGCAGCGCCGAGGCCCTCGTCGACGCTGCCGTTTCTAGTCCGGAGGCAGAGAATGAATCAGCTCTCCCTCTGCCCTTAATCTGATCTAAGCATCAGAAAAATACAAGAACTCTCTCAAGGCTGTAATGTGACAGAGGGTTTGCAGTGCGTGGTGGCAGGTCTCTTGGGTGTCCTCCCAGAAATGGGAGAGGAGGGAGATGAGCCCAGCAAATCCTGCGGCCGCGTAAGCCGGATGGTTTGTCTGCCGGGTGATGAATGCAGCAAGCGCTCCGAGTACATGGCAGCTTGTTACTTAGAAATCAGGAAAGGAAGCAGCTTCTGAACCGCTGCCAGCTCCGGGGACGGAGCTCTGCAACCCCTGGACTTCCAGGAGACACCAGAGTGAAGGTGAAACATGGTGGGGACACTTAAACGTGCTGCGGGTCTGATGCTACAGGGAGACAGTTTGCCTGGGAGCGCTGGGGGGGGCACTATTGTACTGATGGTGTTTGCTCTGTCCCAGTAAGGGGCTAATCACAGGCCGGGAGGAAATGGGTAAGCTGCCTGATCCCACTGGGCTTTCTGTAGGGGTTATGCTCCCAAAAGTGCCAGGCAGCGTCACCCCAAAAAGCCCCCAGCAGCGTCCATGAAGCCCCTGGCAGAGCCCAGGGCTTCCTGCAAGCCACGGGAGCGGGGCAGCGCGGGCAGGGGCTGGGCTGGCGGCGGGGACCGGGCTGGGCAGCGGGGTTTGGGTGGTTGGGGGTCCCCAAACCGGGCAGCCCCGGTGGAGCACCCACCGCCCCCCCCCCCAGGCCGTGGTGCAGGCAGACACGTGCAATCTCCCGCCAGCCCTCGCCACGCCCATAATGGGCGGGGATTCGCGCCGCGCGAACCTTATATGGTGCTGGGAGGCGGTGCCGGCGCCGTCTCGCCCTTGCCGGGGCGGTGCCGAAGCGGTGCTGTGCTGGCATTGGTGGAGGGGGGAGGGGGCGTGGCTAGGAGGGGGCGTGGCCCCGGCGAGGGGCGGGGCGAGGAGCCGGCCGGTTTCCCGTCAAAAGGCGGCTCCGGGGCGGTGGGGGGGAAGGGGGAGGCGGCGCCGGGAGTGCAGGTAACCGGTGCCGGGCCTGGGGGTACTGGTGCCCCACGGGGACACGATTTCTGAGGGAAACCCCCACTCCGTCCCCACCGTGGGCAGGGTCTTGGGGGTGGCAGTGGCTCCAGTGGTCACCGGAACACGGGTGGTGCTGACTTGGGGGGGGGGGGGGGCGGCTGTTGCCGTGGGGAAACTCTCGGTGACCCCCACAGATCGGGGGGGACACGTGTGTGTGTGGGGGGACACTGGTGCCCTCCGTGGCTGGAGGAGGCACGAGCGTGGGTCACCCCTGCTACCCTCTGCCTTTTCCCTGCCGGTTGGAGGGTCCCGTGGGGGTATTGGGGGGGGGGGGTGCACTGAGTCCCCCTGAGGTGTGGGGGTATTGGCTCCCCCCCCCCTCCAGTGCTCTATGTGCTCCATGGTTTGGGGTTCCACGTGGGCGTGGGGCTCTCTGTGTTCCCCTTTCTGGTTTGGGGGATGTATGTTTGTGCCCCCCCCCGCTCCAGCCCCTGTGAGACCCCCTGACACCCAGTGGTTCCTCTCAGCTGGGGGCTCTCGGGGCTGTTAAGGGTTTCCCCTGACAAAACTGGGGTCCCCTTAGGTTGGGGGGGGGGGGGGGGTGTCCCTGTCCCTCTCAGTGAGTTGTGGGGGTGGCTCCTGGTTTGGTGGGTGTCGGGGTCTCCCAGTACTGCCCAGTTCCAGATCTGAGCACCCTTTGCTGGGCCCAGAAATGGGGGTTCAGCTTGGAGCTGGCCAGTGAATGTGACTATATCGGGGGTGCTTTCCTTCCCCCTAAATCCTGTCCGGTTTAACTCTTTCTGGGCTGGTTGGTGATTCCACATGGGGTCAGCATGAGGATGGGGAGAAGCTGGACACAGTCACGTACCCCATGTCGGTGTGAACCCCCGCTTTCCCCTCTGCAGCCCTGAGCCCCTTCCTGAGCTTTACCTCCCATCCCCCATGATGGGATATCACCCCTGTCCCTTCTCCCTAGGTCCTGTCTCTGTATGTCCCTTTTCGGGGCTCCCCAAACCCTTTGCAGTGGGCTCTGAAGCTGGTGAATTACCTGGGTGTTGTTGGGGTGCTTAACTGGTGTTTTAGGGTTTTCAGCCTGTTTCATATCAACAGGCTGGTTTCTGATTTGGATGAGTGCCTGATTAATGATCCGCTTTAAAATGCATCGTAAACTTAATCTCCCAATTGAGTATTTTTTGAAGCAGGGAGGAGTGATTTCTAATGCCAGGCTGAGCCCCCAGCATGGTAGTGATTGCACTTGTTTGCAGTTGCCCAGTGACTTTTCATCCGTCTCTGAGCGATCCCGTTGGCTGTGACTTCCAGGATCTTTCAGCTGCGAGTTCCCAGCGCAAAGAAAACGAAGGTACCGGGGATCTTCCTGCGACGAGGAAGGGGAGGAGGGGGGGTTCTTTCTCCCTAGACCAAGCAGGGCACCCCGCTCAAAGAGCACCCAAAGGACCTGGGGGAGTTGCAGGAGGCTGGTGTAGGGCAGGTAGAGGCGCCTGTTTGCTGGGGTGAGCTGCTCCTTGCTCTTTTTATTTCCGCCCTTATTTGAGTCTGGGGCTGGAGCTGTCGGCTTTAAAAGTTTCTTCAGAAACTGGTTTTCACGAGAAACCGGCCTTGGCTTTGCAGCATTTTGTGGTGTGCTCTCCTCCCACACGAGCTGGGCAGTGACTCATCTTCCTCAGAGGACTCTGTTAAAGGAGCACCAGCGAGCTCGGGGCAACGTGCCTCGCTTGAAGGGAGACAGACGTCTGCCTGGCATCCCGCTCCAGTCTGCAGACCCTGTCAGTGCTTCCCCCATGTCTGCTGGGGACCAAGAGTGAGCTGGGCTGCCTTGGGTTAGTGCCCAGAGAGCCTCTGTGCGGGTAGGGAGGAATATTTAACCTGTCTGCTTTGGGGGAGGAAGTTAAGGCTATAATTACTTGTTTGAATAAAACCTCTTCTGCCTTCTCCAAAGCAGCTGGTAAAACTGAGTCAAATCAGATTGGGTTGGTAGCTGTCGGATTCACTGTAGCTTTCAAACTGGCCTTAACTAGGAGCTAGGGCAAAAAAAAAAAAAAAAAAAAAAAAATTTGTCAGGCTAGGGCAAAAAAAAAAAAAAAATTTGTCAGGCTGAGGTTGCGTGGCTCAGGGAGCCACGTGTTGGCATCGCATGGCTTGGACAGCAGTCCCTCTGGCAACATGTACCCTGAGGAGTGAGGAAGAGGAACTCTGGCAGATGTCAGCCTGAGATCATGCTTGTCTGTAAACAGATCAGGTGTAAGATCTCGCAATGGGATTTTGAATAACAAAGACACAAAGCACAAAAAATGGTTTTTCATCAGGCAAGGATTTGCCTCGGGTCAGTTAGTCTGTTACTAGAGGTTTGTTTCCTGAATCCCAGTGTACTTAAGACAAAATAACTGGATAGTCTAGCCTCTCTTTTCATTTAATAGCTAACTGTGGAGAAGTGGCTGTCTCCCTCTCCGTCTCCCTCTCTCTCTGTGGCTAGAGGTGCACTCAGGAATTTTTAATCTGCTGTTGCTGAGCTAAAGCAAAGTCAGTCTGGCCCAAACTTCCTGTGGCTTGTGAAGGGGAAATGCTGAAATGTCAAGTCACTGGGAGAAGAATAATTGTAGTTGAAGGTGGTTGTAAGGGTCTGTCCCTCCCACACGATGCCCGAGAGTGAAGGTGAGGGAGGGAAGCTGTCAGCTGAGCTGCGGCACGTCTTCCTCTACTTGTGCAAGGGAGTGTGAGTCCGTGGCAGCACATCAGCCACGAGAGGAAGGGGATGTGCATCTGGGCTACAGGGTAAGGTCTGACTGCTCTGGCGTGAACCTCCTCGGTCCGATTATCGCCACGAATGGGGGCGATCAGCTGATGTTGGAGAGGAGACATGCGTGGCCACAGCAGGCGTGGGGGCTGTTTTGTGGGTGGGCATTGGACACTGCTGCAGGGGACTTTCCTAAAGCCACGTCACGTGGGAGGAATTACATCCCCCTTCTGCAGAAGGAGGTGTCATGTATGGGGTGTCCTGTTTTGGAAGTGCCTTGTGGGCAGTGGGTTTTACAGGGTGCCTTTCCGTATTCGAGTACGATGCAGGTGGTAAGTGAATAAATGCAAGTGGCATCTAAATAGTGATATCAGGTTGTTGGGGATGTCTCTCAGTGCTGGGCAGGGGCTTGTCCCGTCGCTCAGGACTGACCTCTCCCAGAGCTGGATGCAGCAGCCCAGGGTGGGGAGCTGTCTGCATCGTGGTTCCTCCTTGCAGCTGGAGATGCTGGGGGACCTGTGATCTGGACGGTGTCTGCCCCGGCTCCTGCAGAAGTGGCTCTGCTTGTCGCCGACTCTTCCCTAAGCAGAGCTGCAAGGGGGTGGTTCCCCCTTTGGGGAACCTCTTGGGTAAGAGGCGGCAGCGGAGCGGCTCGGCTGCTCTGCTCTGGGGTTTGCATAACTCGTGGGAAACGGCTCGCGCTCACCATGCATCACCGAGGCAGAAAGATCAGGGGGCAAAACAAGTGCTGTGTTTTCGGGCGGCGGGTGAAAGTGGTTGCGACAGCCGGCTGCTCATCTCGCAGCCCACGGAGGGCAGGCATGGACCATCTGGTTTCTGTTGTTGGTTTTCTTCCCCCTCACATGACGGTGTATTTTGGGAGACCCAGAGGTGACAGCTTCTGCATTTCAGTTTCCCAGTTACCTTCTTTGCTGCCCGCTCCAGTGCGATGGCAAAGACGGGGTGCTTGTCACTGCATGTGGGCACCCCCTGCTCCCTGGCAACACCCTGTGGTGGGGAGGAGAGGCAGTGGCGTGAATTGAGAACGGTTTTGCAAAGGTGGGGTTTAAAATACAACCCCACAATGAGAGAAATGCAAATGGAACCGCTTCTTAAAATAAATGTATTGACCTACAATTTACTGCTGAGTGTTAAAGCAGCAATTGTGGAAAGCATCCCTCTGATTTGGGCTGTTTGTGTTAAATTTTTTTTTTCTCTGAAGTTGTACCCACTGTGGAGGAGGACAACTGAAGAACCAGGTAATAACAGAGGTGTTTAGCGGATTGTTGTAGGTCCCTTCCAGTTGAACTGTTGTATCCTAGTACCTTTTTTGGAACACCTGTGTGCTGGTGTTTGGCTGACAGCCTGCGAGGACAGCTTGCGTCCCTGGGGTTGGGAGAGGGGAGGACGGTTAAACCAGGGTGTGAGGAACATAAATGACAAGAGGAGCAAAAGTCCAGGGAGATAAGGAAGGTCAGAGACTCTCGAAGGCTTTAAAATAGTTTCTCAGCAGGGATCTGAAGAAGCAGATGCAATGGCTGGGGAACAGGTCTCCTCTTAGTCGAGAGACCTCGGTGTGACTTCGGCTGAAGGGCTGATGTGGCAGGATGTTCACCGGTGCTGCTCTTGCCTGCTTCCACCTTCATTTGAAGTGTTTGCTGAAACAGCTGCGACTCCAGTACAGTTTAACAGCAGTATTAATGTAAACCTCACATGGCTAAGTGAATTTTTGCTACTAATAAATGGAAACAGGGTGTAAAAGTGGTGAAAAACAATGCCTGGGACCTTTATCGGTATATCTAGAAGTACTTTCCTCATTGCCAGGAATATATGCTGTCTGCCCAAGGCATTGGGACCTGCTGATGTCACTTCTGAGCTGTGATTTTTTTTTTTTTTTTTTTTTTTTTCCCCCCCCCCCGGGTCAGTGGACCAGTGGTGAGTGACTCTCATGTCTTCAACAAAAGTCCCGTGTGTGTTTATAGCTCTCCGATTTTTGGTGAAAGCGCTGGTGTGCGGGATGAGGTGAGTTGGATTGTAAAGGGCGTTCTTGACACACGACGTCTTTCTTTCCTCTTTCGTGAGGAGTGTGTGCCTTTTCCTCTGGGTTTACACACCAGAACCCTGCGCTCCCCTCTGCTATGGGGCCTTTCTGTCCCAACGGCTGCGAGCTGGGAGCCCGGCTCGCGTAGGTGCTATTTCAATTTCTCAATGCCAGGCTGCAACACGCAACACCTCCCGCTTTATCAGCGCTCCCACTCCTCCGGCTCGCTTGGGCAAGCAGCCTCCCACGATGGCTGGTGCTCTGGGCGAGGTGATCGGCGGTGGGGGGGGGGAGTCTGTTCCCTCGGGCTGGTGTCCTGTGCCATCTTGTCACCCGCTGCCAGGCAGGGGACAGGGCTTCGGGAGCTGCGTGTCACATCAGGTCTGTAAAGGCTTCACTTCTCCCCCGCTGCAGGGACGTGGGTAGTGCTGACATGGAGGTTTCCTTATAAATAAGCTCTCATGGCTCCATAAACCCGCCCGTTTAACAGAACGCAGATAAGATACACGCGAGGTCTATATTTAGACTTGCTTAGTTTGGCGGAACATCGGTGTCCTTGCTCAGACCTGCGAGCGTTCGCTCACCTTTGTGTCCCCGGGGGGATGACGAGCACTGGCTGCCGCGCGTGGAGCTTGAATGTGACGCCCTGGGAGATGTGGTCTGAGAAGCCCTTGTCTTGCATCGATCCACATCTTCCCAAGGCATTTGTGCCTTCTTGGAGACAGACTTTTTTTTTTTTAACTTGGTCCTGTTTTCACCAGGTCAAGAGATTTCTGTAGCCTGGCTTACGCTGAATGTGGAGATGGTCTGACTAGTTCCTAATCCTGAACTTAAATCTCTGTTTTGGAGACTCTTCCCTAAGGGGGAGAGCCCTTCTCAACCCGGTAGTCCTGACACATGGCTTTTCCCTAGCCTTTTGTCCTGGGATCTGGGTGCAGCAGTTCTCATACCTGTCTGTGCCTGATAACTGGAGTTTCAAGTTGTGCTCTCGCTGGCACGCTCAAAGGAGAGCCAATTGTTTTCTGAGCGTCTCTACTTCATGCTCAGACATTCGAGTAATCCTGTGGTCTGGTCAGTATTGGACAGAGGAGGAGAAACCTGTTTTTCTGTGCTCTGGCTGCTGCCCTGGGTGGCCTCCCACACTGTCCTCCTTGTTGACACTGCACACTGCTGGGAGAGGGCACAAAAACTAGTGTGGTTGGGCTGCCTGACACTCTTGAAATACAACCCATCGCTCTCCATAGCCAGGTAGGAGACCCTGCCTCTGTACCAGGACCACTGCACGTGCACAGGGCTACTGCACTGCAAGAAACACTTCCTTCTCTTTATTTTACTTGTTAGGGATGATAGAATTTCAAGCCAGCGAAGTATGTTGTGACAAAACGTCTGTGAGCATGGCTGTGTGATCTTTGTTACAAAAACTTAGCAGGGAAAAGGTTGAGGTGGGATCTGAGGCAAAGTACTGACAGCATTGCGTGCCTAAATCCATGGGTATGCGTAGACCTACTCACAGGAGGGATGATGCTTAACTTCTGGCAGGTCAGGGACTTCTCACAAACACGGCAGT